ATGACTTGGCAATCACGTCACGCTGGTGGTTTGCTGGTTCTGGCAGTCAAAGTGGGAAGCCTGTTCAACTGCCAAAAACAGAATCGAAACACTAGTTGTTAATTTTCTTAACAGAGGAATCTCCGTACATCAGCGATATCAGCACTTTTGTACCACCTCCCAGCATCCAAAAACCGGGTTCCGTGCATAAAATGTTTTGAAGGGGTCTCTTGACCGTCGCAGCAAAGAAAAATAAACAACCACCTGTGCCGAGGAAGACGGCGGAAACCCATTTAGGCTGCACTGGCCGCGAGATGGACAACTGGCGACAAACGTGATTAAACTATCGCTGGACAATGATTTTCTGCAATTAGAGAAAAGAACTAAATACTGACGTGAGACTGGACCTAACCGTGGCGTGAAAATTAGCGCACCTCAGCGGTCCATTGAGCTATACTGGGGGGTGTCCCCGCGACACTCGTGGGGTCTCTCATACCAGGTTGATCAATGGCTAGAGGTCGGATGAACACAGTCTCCTGGTCCTCCAGGTTGGGGGTTGGAACATGTGACGACTTGATCCGTAGAAATGGTAATGGATGTGCATTTCCCCGCCAAACAGCGCTGCCTTGCGGTTAGGCTTTGGAACCAAAGGCGTTGATTGAGGACCCCAATCATCCTTCTGTCTAGGTGTGGGCGCCCTGGCACTATCCCAGCCCTCGTGCTACGGTAGTGAATCATGTTGAACACTTGGGCGCCCTGGCACTATCCCAGCCCTCGTGCTACGGTAGTGAATCATCGGTGTTGAACACTGATATCATGCTGTCGATGATGATTATATGACAGCCTATTAGATCACACGGTTACATTTTTGGTCGCAGCAGCGGGCGCACTTACTTATATCATCTTTCGTCTCCTATCGTATTTCAAAGTTCACCGTCCGGAGCCCACCTGTACTTCTCACGTGTGACCCTGATGGCAAAACCTAGGACTGTCAGTTGAATTTCTGGGGTGATTCAGAGTTAGCGGTTAAGAATGTATCCTTTTATGTCTTCATTTCTGGAACGCTGTATAGCTTATCATCATTGTCAGCTGTAATAACCGCGTACCTGTGCAGTGGTTGTAGCTGTCTCCGTTTCGTTCACCGATAATTCGGGGAGGTAGGCAGCTGAGCATTGGAGGCGGGAGCTGATGAATTAGTGCGTAGATACAGCACTGTAGGTGGACTGTTAAGTTGGTGATTGGGAAGGGAGCTATGCATTGAAGGCAATAGCTTGGATGCACGAGCGCCATTTAGGGCGCGACTGGGCCCTGTCTGACAATGTCTCTAACCATTGATGTGGCCCTTCTCGGGGTCCTTATCTAGAAAGACGTCAATGACCAGCTCAGCTGAGTTTGCTGGTAATGGCTTTTATACTTTGCTGCCAAGTCATTGGCCGACAGCCTCTGGCTCTTCCACCCTTCACGTGGTTGTGCGAAAAGAGCCCTTCGAGGAAGTCGGTCGACTGGCATACGCAGCACGTGGCCAAGCCAGCGCAACCTATGCACTGTGCTCAGTTCATCTATCGAGGGTGAGTTATCTCTCCCCAATACCATTCGATGAACTTCAGCATTGCTGATCCGGTGTTCCCACCAGATTCGAGCAATGCTCCGAAGACATCAATGGTCAAACATTGAAAGTCTTCTTACGTCCTCGGCTTGCAGCGGCCAGGTTTCTGATCTCTATAGCAATATGGAGCGCACCGCAGCATTGTTAACTCGACCCTTGATGGTTAAACAGATGTCACGCCCACGTGCAGGTCCACAAAAGCTGCTCCGGCCTTCCCAATCCGGATGGAAATATCATCTTTAGCGTGTCAGGAAGGTGCCGGAAGCTAATTTGAAGCCGCCTCTGTGGAGATCAAACTCGGGTCATCGAAACGACAGTCCACAACAATCAAAATGATAATGCATACTCCACTTGGCTACCCGTATCGGAGGCTTAATCCAAAAATTCGTTAGTGAGAGCACACTTTTCCGCCTTCATTCATGCCATCCTTGACGGTGTAATTTACTTGTTGTCGTGGTGATTCCCTTCCGCACCATATTTTCATTGTCACTGGCTTGGGTGAATCATGCGCGCTAATCCATCCGTTGGTCGCTTTCCTGCGTTACTCTGCCGAAGAGCGAGCCAGTTTTTAATTTTTTATGTAACGATGCCTATTCGCTACTTTCCAGGCTTCTCGATCGATTTGGTCGTTGCTCAGTAGGCCCATGCTTGTCAAGCATGTGATTAGCATCGCCCGCAGATCTCTTATCGTCCCACAGTCTTCGTCAGCCTTCACGTCTGCCCGAACCTATCCTTCGTCCCTTTCATGCAACCCAAATCATAGGACACTATGTAGCGCCACGCCAACAGGAAATGTTGTCGCCGTTCACCCCGACAATGCTGATTCCTCAGATTTGGATAACACAATCCGAGGGAAGATGTACATAGAATTTACGTGTAAAGTGAGCTTCTCACTTGCAGATCTCCTGATACTTCTCCACAGAAATGTAACCACCGGTCCTGTAAACACTTCTCTAAACATGCTTACCAGAAGGGAATTGTGATTATTCGATGTGCAGGATGTCAAAACCTGCACCTGATTGCAGATAACTTAGGCTGGATCAAGGATAAGCATTGGTAGGCAGCCAATATTCTCTTCCTAATATCTTCCTTTTTAGGAAACTGGAAGATTTCGTCAAGGTGAATCGAAAGTACGTTGACTTCACATGAACGACCGATGAACTCGCAATGTTTTGGGATTATCCTGTCATACACTACTTTCTGGACAGTTTGCCGGCAAATTCACACATTTTCACCTTGTTGTTTCATGTATTCGGTATCTATCGCGTCGTACGCTGGTTTCCGCAGTTGCTTACATTTACGCATCCACCTATTTCAAGTTCTAGCAATCATCGTCGTTATCAGTGGCAGACAACACCCAGGTCTGTCAAAAGCACCACGCATCATTTTTACCAGTTTTTTAACTGCATCGGACTTTGCATGTGCCGATTCCGTGAAGCGGAAACTACATCTGTGAATGCATTGTGCGATAGAAACTCCCTGTCCTTCATGTGTCTCATTTATCCCCTGATTCCTTCCACACTTTGTTTATACAATACAACCCAGGTTCTCGCTTCTCGTAAGATCATGGATTCAACCTTTTGCTTTCAAACAAACCATGGTTGTACGGCAGTGAAGCATCGGTGTCATGCTGTCGATGTTGATGATGATGATGATGATTGTTTTTCAATGCTAATCCCCATGTTTTAGTTTATTATGTTATCTAAAGTGAGCCGCTTACTACTAGGAAGCTTATGCTTAGCAGAGCTGTTAATATGTATACAGCTCAAGCGGAATCCAAGTTTATCCCGAGAAGATCACCTAGTTGCGCAGGATAATGTGGTTACGATCCCTGAGGCAATGTTCGAGCAGTAACTGCAGCATTTAGTGCTTCGGTACTGAAACTCGACATTCCACTTTTGTCGCTGAGCTCTTGTTTCCGTTATTCTATGTCCGTAGTTTGGTACAAAACATGGTATGGAGTGTGGTCATGCATGAGTGAACACAGCTCAACCGGGACGTTCACGAAGTGTTGTAACAGGACTCGGGGTCGGGATAAAACTTTGAATAACCCACTTCTGAAGTAGAGTCGATGTGGACTGTCGCTTTATTGTATTACGAACTCATTCAGTGCACAGTATCTTGGATTCGGGAGAAGAGCTTCGAAGTAGGGGTGTTTTACATTTCATCAGCATTGACTGCCCGTAAGTTAGTTTCAAGTCTGGTCATTTTCCCCTCATTGCTATCGAACAACCTGTCATGCCAGCGAGTGATAGCCCGCTTCTGTGTTAACTGAATTTCACATCAAAGCAGCCGCTTAGAAAATAGGACACTTGGAAAGACCAGCATCACTTTAATTGCTCAGTCAGTGAGTAGGCTTAGGTCCGATATGGGTGTTATGCACCTCATGTTTCGTTTTTCCTTGACAACACTCTTGTATGAACATCACCCGACGCATAGCGAGCCGCCAAACCCTTCTGAAGCGAGGTTTGTCCTTAGTTTATCCCTTTACATCCACTTACTAGGGCGAGAGGGCCCAAGGGGTTGATGCGCGAATTAACTGACCGGAAGGTTCGTGGTTCGAACCCGACCTCTGCCTCTCGGCTTCCCCTGTCTAGGCTTGGGCCAATTGGCAGTATCCCGACCCTCATGCTTCCCTCTGGTGACTTGGTAGTTAGACACTGGAAGGATTCTGCAGCTGAACGTTGTGTTACATCCACTTAGGCCTCGTGCACTTGAACTAGCCTTAGTTAAGCTTACCTTGGGCATGGTTGCTATGCTTACAGTCATTCGCTTTTAAGGAAAGTCTCACACGAGAAGGCGATTTTGGTGTCCCCCAAAGATAAGACGAAAGCAACCACATGAGGTTGTTCAACATTATTGAAACTCATCATGTGGGTACAATGTGAAACGCTGTATTTTCAGAGTTTGTAGGAGACGATGTAAGTCGATGTTATTTTTCATCTTCATCGGTGTAGGTCTGTTCAGCTAAGAGAAACATGGCGTAGAGTCGACCGGCACTCCAGCAAATATAGTTCATAAGAAAAGTTCACAATAACGAATGGCGTGCAGCTGTAGAACATTTGCTTCAATAAATTTTGATAATAGATAGTTTAATCCTATAGGGAAGTACATTGGGTGACACACTTGTCATCAAAGGTGAATGCTTCCGGGTAGTGATTTCATGCGTAATAAACAATTAACGAGGTATGTCCAATGTTTGGATGAATAAATGAGCTCATCACTTTATTGCCTCTGAGTGATGCAACTGCCATTACTTAAGCCGGGTGCACAATTTGTATCCGACTCATGCGGAGTAAGTTGCTATGATTGGAGAATGACCTATGACAAGGGTTTATTCATCCGCCAATCATCTTTTATAATGTGTCCTAATCAGGTCACAATGTCCGGGTTCTTGTTTCACTTCGATATTTAAGCGCACACTTAATCTGATGTATTTATACCAGATCGGCCTGAAGTGACTGCTGGTAATGCGTCTTACTAAGACATGGGAACTACACCACCTCTCCCGTACTCTTATGATTGTGGAAGTACATACTAGAGTTCTGCTTCACCAGTGGCTAGCGTGGCACTCTTGGTTCTTCGCGTTTAGGGTATCTGACTTCAGCGTGTTTGCTACGCTCTGAGGGAGTCTGTATCCAGTCCAATCGCTGTCGACAGGAATCACTCTCCGGTAGGTGTTAAGGGATCTAGTAGAACGGGAGCCGTAGGTTTGCAGCCCCGTGCTTTTGAATCACTGAGTTGGTTGAGCTTAAGACACGTAACATTCGGTTTAGTCATTTACGCTAACCATCTTTGTCTTTCTGATTATTCCTGGCATCCCAACACACTGCTTCCTGGCTGACAACACTGTTCCCATTTAAGGTTTTGAGTGTTTTGCGTGTATTTATTGATCGCTATTGTACTACTGAATTCTTCGTATATACGTGAAAAGTGAGTGAGTGTCACTACGGTACATACGTAGTAACACTACTCATAAAGTCGCCGAAATCTGTTCGACGGCCCACAGCCGGTTTTACTCTTGAGGTTCATCGGGTTGGTGCACTCCCGAATTTTCCGTCAACCTTATGTTCCGCCTGAATGCAAATTGCACAAAATTCGACAAACACACTCATTTGCATCATAAACAAGAGACTCATGTGTGCCTCCCGTGAAAACTAGACTGGTGTGGAGATGGGTATTTGTCGAGTCTCAGTACTGTCTTCTAATCGAACGTAATATGTGGTAGTAGAACTATCATCCATGACTTGCCCGATTCCCATGAGATGGAACTGCTATAGCCTGCTCTGTCCGTTCGCTACTACTGACTGCCAGATCCATTGCTCTCTGCCACCTAGACTGATATCCATAGGTTTTTCACAATCTTTTTCTTTTCGTTCATGAGAGCATGGATGCCTCATGAAGCCTAACTACTGAATCTGGGGAAATTGTATGGCTTTTGATTCCTCCTATGGGGATAATTCGAATTCACCTCGCGATACTGGTGCTTGGACAAAATCTTCTCGGGTGTCTGCGACGCTAACTTGCTTCTGCTCAATGCTGGTTTCTTTCTAGCTTTTGGCTACCTTTGAGAATCGTCGGTCTTATTTATCTGGTTGGCGTTGGGCCTTTACCCAAAGAAGTGTAGTGAAATAACGATGATGTAGCTTTACAAATTCTCGTGGTTATTTAACAATAGTAGTAACAAGATGACTGTCTGAGGCACCAGAGATAACGCAACATAACCAAAAAGCCAGTAGCTAAGTCCGGTAGACCAGTAGTCTGGCTCCAATGGAACATCTTTAGCTAGTCGACTGTGAAGTGATTCAACACAGTCCTGTTGCTCTAAAATCACCCCGTAAATTATACAATAGCTTAACATTGCAAGCAGACTAGCGTATGTGTTAAATAGGAGAAAAGCTTTCCGAAATAGGAAAAATGTGAACACATGGCACAAATGCAATCCGAGTGCACACAAGAAAGTCAGTTTACCCCAGGTACGCAAAGGAGCCACGACTGGAGAAAAGTGCAGACATAAATCCCATGACTTTAGGACTGGGTTGGCTTGCTGATCCAGCATACAAGTCGTATTGTTTGGTTGACGGTCAGTGCTTAGCTCCAATAAGCGTGATGTTCGTCGCCAATACCCTTGGTTAATTTGTAATCGCCTCAGTCTATCCTCAGCTGAACAGTTAAACCGTGTCTCTACCTCAATAACAGCATAGTCGTCCAGTATCATGGCAGCGATTAAACAAGCCATGTGACTCCAATAAATTATCATAAAAATACACAATAAAGCCCGCTGTGAACAGGTCAACGAGTGGAACCACACAAATGTGGCTGGAATGGGAGCAAGCAGCAGTCGGTATTCAAGTGCAAGCTTGGGCATATGTCTAGCGTGACGCAGAATGATTCAAATGCTGTTCATCAGTTTTCAGATCAATATCTGGTTCCACGTGATGCATGATAGGAAAGCCCCTGAACCAATAGAACAGATATTTACTGACTGCAGTCCATCGACTCCGTCTTGCTTGCTCTTACGTATATGATGACGCCCCAGTGCGACGAAGTACGGGAAACAATTGGCAACGACCTTGTTGGGCAATATTTCGCATGTAGCATTACTTTCTTCAGGACATAATCAAGGCCAAACTGCCCATTAGGTGAGGCCACCAAAACACAAAACCGGTAGAATTTCACAGGAGATAGTGACAGCTACTGGACAATTACCAACCACCAATTGCCTGTCACCACCCCGAGTAGTAAAACCAACTTTGGTATTGATGTTTAAAAACGCCGTAAATCTTGGTCATATTTCAAAGGTCGACTGTTTGCGATAGCTCTTGTCATCTGACTTACGTGAAGTACGTCTAAGACAAATGAATTGAGTAGGAAATTCCACCGGCTTAAGTAGGTTTTCCTCTCAGACTCAAACCATTCGTTTGAAACGATGAATTATCCGTCGGACGCAGATTTCTCGCCACAGTTTGGGACTTGATCTGAGTGTTCGAATCTGTTTGCGATAGATCCTTTTTACCGGCTTATATGTGGTCTAATTGGAAGAAAGGTGAAATAGCTTTGATGCAATACTTTCTGAAAGCCGCATTCACTCATTCGATTCCTAAAACTCGTGAAATTTCGAAACCTAATCGAAATAAGGAGAATGAAGAGATAAATAAAGGGAATGAAAAAAGAGTTGTGGAACTAGAATATTAGTCTGGAATCTGTGGAATCTTTGATGAGTACATCGGCGCTCACAAGTTCTTACCTGTCATACCTAGACGCACACTGTTAGATGGCCAAACAGATTATTTTTTCCGATAACAATCTTTGTGACCATTTTTCAAAAGCAAAATAGGAGTCAAATAAATCTCTCGTTTGTGATGTTTCCAGGCAATCGAATGTGCTGCACCAGGTCGCCTCATTTTTCAGTCACTACGATATCGCAATACATGTATATTTGTAATGTACTGCTCATTTCGCTGACTTCGTGCAATTTGGTTTCAAGTAGAACATAAGGTTGACAGAAACTCGGGGACTGCGCCTACCTGATGAGCCCCAAGAAAGGCGAAACCGGTCGTGGGCTGTCGACGAATTTTCAGCAACCTTATGAGTAGTACATTACAAATATACAAAAGAGGAGTCCTTCGAAATAACGCCCACTACCCAATCAGGTGCTTTTCCATCCATGCAGCACACATGGTATTTGTCTCATATGCCCGCTCAAATTCGTTTGTGGACGTTAGCTTATGATTCAACATTCAGAGTGCATGCCGACGCCGATCCGAATCTCCTCTATATAGTATATGCAATAGTTTCTACCCGACCTTCAACGAGTTGCTCACTTTAATAAAACAAGGGGAAACAACTTTTGTCAAGAAACCACTTCTCAAAATGGCCGGTTTTGTGTTGGGTTCACCTAAATGACCTGAAGATGTCTCAGATCTTTCACCGGAAATAGCCAAGTCTCGCAGCCGCACAACAATACCTCCCGCGCTGATACGCACGACCAAGTGAGACGCTTTTTGGATGCCACAAGTGGCTCAAATTCGCCAATGTAATTCTTGTCTTCAAGACTGGACTTCATCTGTAACGCTACCGTGGGAGCAACTATTAAACCCAGAGGTGCCAGGTGGTCCGGGGCTCGCTTTTAGGTTAGAAGTCGCTCGGCTCTAGTGCCTTTCTCTGCTACTTCTCTAACCCGAGCTCCAACAACCTTGCAGTCAACCACCCTGACAACAATTATTCTACCTTGTGTCACTTGTACGTAACTCGGCATCGCTTATGAACGCAGGGAATGTCTGAACTGTGTGCCTACACAAAACACGCAGTGGTAAGAAGGCAGTTTATAAATCCGCTTGAATTCTCAGAAGCCATGTGTTTCTTCCGACTGAACTCAATAAAACTAGTTAGCTTGCCTTAGAGGTGACGGGCATAATGATCACAATGATATGGGGCCAACTGGGGTTAAAGGCTGCTTGGTGAATAACCCTGTTTTTTTCTCATACAGAATGAAGAAATCAGGGGCCACTGAACACTATTCAGGCCAGTAAATTTAGATCGATCACAGCCTTATTCCTTGACTCTGTGGGCAGCAGGGCGTGGTTATGTGAAGTAGACGATTTTCTGGTATGTTGTAGCGCTAAGCGCTTCATCACCGGTGTGCTTTACATATATGGCGCCTAAATAATGAAGAAAACGTTTAAATGAGTTGATTTCAAGTC